CTCCGCTCACTAGTCTCTCTTCACATAATCCCTCCTTTTGCTGTGACCTGTGACAAATTTTTAGTAGACAATTTAACATGCATACAACTTTGTTGGTAGAATTCTACTTTGTGATAGAAATAATAGACAATGGGGACACCAATAAGCAGGGAGGTGGAAAGAGGGGTCAGGGTTCAGAAATTACCTACTGGCCAGGCTCGGTGGCTCAGTCTGTAATCCCAGCACCTTGGGAGGCCAAGGCGAGCAGATTGCCTGAGCCTGTGGGTTTGAGATCTACCCGGGCAACTTGGCGAGATCTTGTCTCTACAATAAATCACAAAAATTAGCTAGATGTGGTAGCACATACTTGTAGTTCCGGCTACTTGGAAGGCTGAGGCAGAAGGATCGCTGGAGCCCAAGGCTGCAGTGGTCGGGAGCCTGCCACTGCACTCCAGACTCCAGTCTGGGCAACAGAGTGAGACTCCAACTAAAAAAAAAAAAAGAAAAAGAAAAGAAAAAAAGAAATGACCTACTGGGTACAATAGTCACTACCTGGGGAATGGGTCATCCCTCACCACTACACAGCATGTAACAAACATGCACTTGTACTTCATGATTCTTTACCCATAAATATTATTACATCCATTATTTCACTCTTGGGCTAAAGTCTATTTCTAAATGTTCCTTCTATTAAAATCAATTGAATCAAAACTAAATGTTCCTTCCATAAAGTTTCCTATTTTGAGCTGTGTCTTCTCCTGTGGATATCAAACTCTCTCCCTTGCCCCCCACTTTTTGAATTTGGCTGTCTTCCTGGGTATCATTTCCAAGGAAACAATTCCTAGCAGTTGCAGCAATTGCTCTGAGCAACTGTAAAATCTCCCAGCATCTTCCTTCCCAGTCTCTTGAGCACTTCTGTGAAGTGTTTGGGTCCACACCTCCTGCTCTACCTCCCTGGGTGCCTAGATTAGCACTGAGCATAGCAAGGCACTGGCCCTATAGTACCTTCATCCAAACCCCGCTCTCTCTGTCATTACCTGTTCTTAGATAGATTACTCATATCCTCTCTGCCCCGATTTCCCAATCTGCAACCTTGGAGAAATAATAGTACCTTTCTCTCAAGGATGTTATGAAGGTTAAACAGGATAAACCAAATACAGCACTCACAATGCTCATGGGCACATATCCAGCCCCTGATGAGCATAAGTTATTATCTCTCTGCTACCAACTTCTGCTTCAGCATAACATTTTACTCTTTTTTTTTTT